ATCCTGTTTTAACAATTCCAAAAGCCAGGGAAGAAAGGGCTATTTCCTCGTTTATGCGACAACCCTGTTACCCAAACTAGGCAAAGATATCACAGGAAAAGAAAACCACAGGCCAGCGTCTCTTATAAATATAGATGCCCAAATCTTCAGCAAAATGCTAGAGAGCAGAATCCAATAGCCTATGAAGAGAGCCAGCCTCCATGAAGACTTGTTCCAGGAATGCAGGGATGGTTCAACATCAGAAACTCAGCCAACCGCCGTGCACACTGTCAACAGAACAAAGGAAAAGGACCGCATCGTTACCGCTACAGATGCAGCAGAAACATTTAATGCAATCCAGCACCCTTTCTTGAGGAAAGCCATACAAAAAGGAGACTGAAATCAGAGGTGCCCGCAATGAATGGCCTCACAATGAAGCTACTGGGAGCCAGAGTTCTGGGGCCAAAGCCCAATTTGATTCCTTCCGTGCTGAGTAGCCTGTGGAAGTCCAGGAACCTCTTAGAATCGTTGTTTGGGGAGAGTCGTGGTCCGGAATCAGGATGGCATATGTAAACGTCTCAGAACAAGTAAGCAGAAAGAGGCCTATGGGGTGGGCCAGGGATGGGGACGGAAGCAAAAAGCAGCCCCGATTCCCAGCCACACTGCTTCCGGGGGGGCTGGCAGAATCTCTTTCATGCTCCCATTTTGATCACTTCAGTCTCTCACACCCTGTGAGCCACCAAATCATGCTTGCTCTTAAGCAGATCAGTCAACCCACCACCCACAAAGGGAGGCTGTCAGTGTAGAGGAACAGTGCCTCCAACCCTTGTATGGGATGGCCCTTGGAGTGGGGAGGAAGGACCTGTGGTCCTGTTCCTGAGCCTTAACAAGCCCTCCTGAGCCAGCCAGAGGAGATCCAGGCTGCACAGAGTCATGGCAGCAAGGCATGGACCCCCCAAGCCACAGCCCAGCTCCTCTCCTGCAGGCTCAGGCTTGGCGGCTGCTCTCATTCATAAGCACGCCAACTTTACAGCAGCCAGCACCACACTCCAGCCCTGGGCCCGCCTGGCGCCCAGGTCTAGACTCCATTGATCAGTGAGGCTGGAGACCAGAGCTGCTGTGGGAAAGCAGGCGCCCCCGACTCCCACCACAAGGATGATGGAAAGTCCAACTGACAGGGAGACCTCCTGCCAGCACTCCGG